TCGTTGGAGAGTACAATGCGCGAAAACATCGCACTATCGGTATGAGACCTATCGATGTTAACCCCGCGATCGCCGATAAACTTTTAAATACGGTATACAGCAACGTAAAGATTGCGGCACCGGCAAGATACAAAGTAGGCGATCCGGTACGCGTTAAAGTGCAGAAAACTAATCCCGTGACATATGTACTCAAAGATTCATGTGGAAATTCCGTCGCCGGCGGATTTTACGAATACGAGTTACAATGCGTTGCTAATCCCGACGTACATCTCGTGGAAAAGGTGATACGCAAGAAGGGCGACGAGGTTTATATTCTTGGTGACACTGTTGTTACGTCCTGGTGACTCCACGATTCCTTCCTTCCACGAAGTTGCGGCAATGATAATCGATCGGTGATAGAAATGAGTCGTTCGGTAAATAGAGCATCCTGCGTCACACATTCCTTAAACATTTAGTCACTTATCTATATCTAAGAGCAACCGTGAGAAAGACGCGACGAAATCGCGCCGGTCGCCTAAAAACAAATAAAAACCAGTAGATACCCTCGCAGTGGAATTCTCCAGCGGAATAAAAAGCTGATAACGAAAAGATAATAAAATTCTCACAAAATATCCGATAAATACAACTAAATCAATAATGACGAAACTTCTGTGACGTTACATTTGGACTTTGTCTAAATCAAATCACGGGCGTAAGGGAAACCTAGAGCTCAAGGGATTCTGAACTGATCACCAATCGACGATCGTCATGAGTGAACATTTGAATAGGAGAAACAACACCCCGCCTAATGAGGACACTGGCACAACTTTTAATTCGTTAAAGTTTTGGAAGATTCCCACTCTTAGAAATTAGAATACACCCCGAAAAGAAAGATATAAAAAGAGGACTCGAACTCACTTACGCACTTATTCTCCAGTCTTCAGCTTCACGCAGTCTTACTCTGTGCTTTTGCACCGAAATTCACGAGTTAGGCACTTGTGCCACCAGTGTCCTCACTTGGCATCATCTCCAGAGCAACCACGAATCGAACATCGGATTGCCGACATGAGACACAGAGCGAAATCTTCACACTCGATGTGATATATGAGACTGTCGGTATCGGTGTACATGACTTTACATTTTTCTCGATACATAGGTACCATGTAATCGTGGTGAAACTCGTACAAACATGTCTTGGATATGTCGAGTATACGCATACCCACGTAGATTGGTTTATTAAATTTAACTTTGAGATTGCGCAATTCAACGGCGATCAGATTTTCCGAAAACACGCTTCTATTATGAAAATTTGATTTTGCGATCATCGCCTCTGCGCTATATCTTCCATCCCAATGTGTCACGAGCTTAATATTAACGTGATTGCGCACATTTTCCATCGTTTTGCCAAATACCGCATTATTCATTAATTTATACAAATTTTTTCTTGTAAAATTATTGTGTATGTAAAATTATTCGCAGGAGTCGGAGGACTCGCCGTCCGTTAAACTGCGAATTTTGCAACACGCATAATAAAAGCCCGCTACGCATATCCGCTGAATCTACTCTCCCTTCCTCGCCAAGATACCCCTCCCCCAGTTACTTCCCTATCTACTTCCCCGACTATATCACTCCGAACCTCCGCTTTCCCCATGTTCCTTCTCCTCACTATCCACCGTCCTTTTGCACAATTCACCCCCATCTTCCTCGCAGTGTTCGGAAGCAGAAATATTGATGTAACACCCGCGAATAAAAAAACACACATACACATGTAAACTCACCGAGAAATTATGATCAACAATATTTTATTTTAACTTTTTTTTATATAATCATGTATATCCACCATTTACTTTAAAATAAATAAATTTACATTTTGTTAATCGAATGTAATATTCGTATGTTTCAACATGGCGTCCAATGTGTATCCGGGAAGAGTATGGTAATACGCGGGGTCGAGCCCATAACTTTTAATACAACTCTCGCGGAAATTTTCAAAAATGTCTGCTAATAACAATACATCAATTTTGAGATACAAGTCGCTATATTTGCCCAGCGTTCGAATGGAGAACGTCTGGAAGGGCTTCCAGACGTTCTCGGCGTGCGCGTAATCGCTCTCGGATATTGTGTCACTGGTCAAGGAACTGTAAAATGATTCGCGCTTTGGTAAACACGTTTCTTGCAACCTGCCGAAATTTGAATGCGCTGGACCTCTGTATCGCTCGGTCAGATGGCAATGATCGCGTACGCGTGTATCGTCTTGTACGAATGATTTCTCGCAAATGTGACATTGTGTCGCGCTATAAAATTTTTCTCATTCATCAGATGTTAAATTTACCATGGGGACATTAGCTGATAAAATACTTTTTAACGTGTTTGTCTCTTTTCAGCTCACTTAGACGTATCGGGATAACGTTCTTTTCCTCGATACTATATACATTGATTGAGATATCGTTGACAAGTTCAAATTTTTTAATTTGGTTCACAGTCACTGGAAACTCAATGTCCTGGAGAATCAGCACTGTTGTATAATGAGGATACAAAGATACTCGATAAACATAACTTTCAGCTGGATGTAGAACGGCGACCACAGATCACGCGAAACTCGCATTGTCATTAGATTGCACGTTGATCACCGCTCTCTTCATTATTATCGCCCGCGGTAATTTTATGTGTCATCCCGCGCGCATAGGATTATATTTATTTATATTTACGATTAAATCGAGTATTCGCGATAAATGCCCACTTGCTGTCGCGTTCTTGAAATTCTTCGAGCAATGCTAGAGTGGTCTCGACAACGCGCCGCTCGTACCATTCGCGTAAATCGGTTGTGCGAAGAGTTCATAGTTTCTCGTATTGATACTTTTATTTGCGCGTTTATCACCCGTCACAAATTCACCATTGAACACTGTATTAACTTTCATATTAAAGTGTTTTTTCATCACATTTTGCACGTATCGAGCACAATGTCTTTGGTATCCTCGAAAAATTGACAAGGCTCGATGTGATTATGATTTATAACCGCACCAGTCAATATGCGGCTCTCGAACGCCGTATCGATCTCCCGCCAAATCAATCCGTGTTGTCGCGTGCTGCATCCTGCACCCGCATGTACAAAACGCAACTCTTGGCGAAAATACTGACAGGGTGTGCCTTTTTACCATGATTTTATATTCTATCTTGATGTCTCTTTCTATCATGTGTATCAACTAAATCTTTATTTCGCGGTTTGTCACGTACATTTTGACTAATGTCGATTATTGCATTTTTGTCGTCTAGAGATGATGTCAAATCCCTGGTGCATCGCGAAAGTTTCAAATTACATGCTGCTGTCCAAGTATGTTAGTGCAATTTAACCATGAAGATTATCCTTATATTTCACTATTTTGTCATGTTTTGACACGCGCGTTTGAGTTCTGATATCTAGTGGTGATGTCATCGCGAAGCAGCCCCACATCGGCGCTTGAAAATTTTATATTACGTTGCATCTTTGTGCATTCGGCTAAATCTCGGTGATGATGTCATCTGAGCCCAGATACATTGCAAAAGTTTTAAATTACTTGTATATTAACACAAATTAACCTTGATAATTATTCTTATATTTCACGATTTTGTCATGTTTTGACACGCGCGTTTGAATTCTGATATCTGGGGTGATGTCATCGCGAAGCAGCCGCACATCGGCGTTTGAAAATTTTATATTACGTTGCATTTTTTTGTGCATTCCGCTTCACGATTTTTGTCATGTTTTGACACGCGCGTTTGAATTCTGATATCTAGGGGTGATGTCATCGCGAAGCAGCCACACATCGGCGCTTGAAAATTTTATATTACATTGCATTTTTTGTGCATTCCGCTAAATCTCTCACCTGGGGGTGATGTCATCGCGAAGCAGCCGTACATCGGCGCTTGAATGGAAAAATTGAAAAAAATATCGCGTCGGCAATAATTCTAACCACATTGCAATTTTGCAATGCTAATACATATTTTAAATATGTTTAATACGTTCAGTATTGCATCGACCACTTGTGTGAAAGGTTCATATAAAATGTATCCTACTGAAGGAAGCCTCATGAATTATTACGTTCCGATTCAAGATGCTGATGAAACATCCCCGTGTAAGAAGAAGAAATGTAACAAGTAAGTTTTAATTAACTTAAAGAATTTTTTATACTTTTTAAATATTTTTTACACCTTTTAAATATTTATATAAA